AGAGAGAGAGCGAGAGAGAGAGAGCAAGAGAGAGAGCGAGTGAGAGAGAGGCGAGAGGAGAGATGCGAGAGAGATTGAGAGAGCGAGATTGAGAGAGAGAGGGGAACTCATCTATATTTATATCGAAAGTGCAGGAGAAGGAAAGATCCGGGGGTCGATATACAAATGTAATTCTTTATTGTCCCAAAAAAGCTACACAAACGGCTTACTATAAGGAAAAAACTAAAGCGGTTGTTTTGATATATATATATATCACGACCTCACAATTACATAAATAGTTTTATCGTCAGCAGATTTTTGGAAAATACAAAATTCCTTTGCCTCTGCATTACAGATCCTTTAAAAAGTCACCTGTTTGTTCTTCAGGAATGTTATCGTAATGCGAGAGGTGAACAACAATCAGGAATGCTTATCACTTAAGCTTATTTACATGACATTTCCCAGTGACAATCACTTTTGTTTTAACATTAAAAATACTATACATATTTCCAAATTAAAAAGGGAGAGCGTATCAGTACTTATATGTAAAAAAATTAAGAACATCTTTATGTAGGAAGCCTCAACATTACTTGACTATGTAAAAGAAATTCTTGCGTGCACAGCAGCAGCAAAAGAGTATGATACTCAATACAATAAATAAAAATAGTAAAAAAAAAGAATTAAAAGAAGTCTTTTGTTGAATTATGAACTAGCAACATCCGGCTCGGTCTCGGGCGGGCGGCTGGGTTGCGCGCCGGGCTGGGCGGAGAGCTGCGCCAGGTACATGCCGACGACCGCCTTGACCCCAGCGTCCTCTTTGGACCCCTCGGCCCCCTCCTCCCCGACTCGAAATCGGTGGTAGACGCAGGATCCCTTCTTTAAGTGTCGGATCATGTGCTCCTTGCGCGATGCACGGTAGGGGCAACAGGGACACGAGAATGGTTTCTCCCCCGTGTGGGTCTTCACGTGGCGGACCAGGTTATTTCGCCTGTTCTTCCCCGTGAACTCTTTGCCGCAAAGGGCACAGCGATCCACTCCGTCCTCCGAATCCTGCAATGGAGAAGCCACGACCTAGAGACTCGCTTCTTTTAGCTTTTAACACGTTGCCCATGCTACGCGGAGCCCTACAATGATAACATGATGCTGCCATAGCTCCGGGACTACTGTCTTAGTGTATACAACAGGTAAATCATTCTCTGGCTGGATCTTTTGACATAAACAAGTTGAAAAACCAAATCAAGTATCGGGCATAATCAGATATCTTATTAAATCTTTTGTTTGGGGGAAGCTATATCAAGGAGTATTTTAAAAGACAAAGGTGTAGTTCCGACCTTTAGAGTGGTATGTGATCAGGTGGCAGCTGCGTGAGCGTGGTGCGTGTGGTCTGGTCCCTGGGACACCAGGACCCTGTGCAGGTTTCTCATATGCCTGTTGAGATGTTCCTTCTGATTCGCACGGTATTCACACATGGGGCAGGGAAAGGGTTTTTCGCCCGTGTGGATGGCCATGTGACGCTCCAGGCGGTACTTGCGCTTGGTGCCCTTAAACACCTTGCCGCAGACCCGGCATGAGGACGCCGGCGTGGAGTCCCCGCACATTCCATCCACCGCTATGTCTTCGGGTACCAACTCCTCGTCATCTTCATCTGCCAACACCGCCTCCACCTCGATGAGCGCCGCCTGCAACACACCAGGCCATGGTCAGGGCACGACTCAAGAGCTGCGAACAGCCTCAGCAAGGTCGGCAGTGAGCATGCCCACACTTGGCAACTTGATGGCCTCACTCAACATCCGTGCATTGTTAGTGACAGCTAATTGCTGCTCTGCACAAATCACCTGGTTTATGAATGCAATCATCACCAAATCTATACAGATGCATACTCTACTTTGTTTCCTTTTATATAAGCTTTTAAAACATACATTCTCAAATGCACTCCACGTCTCACAGCAATGTTATGGGTTCCTTACAGTTTTTGTCTCTTTGTCTACCTGTTTTTTCTGCCCTGTTTTACGTCTCTATTCGTCCTGACGACTCACATTACAGACGATCTCTCTTCTACGCTCTGGTTATTCGGGTTTATGTAAATTTCTTGCAGACACTCGTCAACCTCATGCATACGCGAAGTAGTTCTGTCATGGAAAGGGGAACTTGTCGCCTGCGGGTCTCCGCTATCTAAGGTCGGTCTCTGAGCATGAACGTTCTTTATGTGCCTAGTGAGGTTGCCCAGCTGACTTGAGCGGTACGTGCAATGCGGGCATTCAAAAGGCTTCAATCCCCAATGAACCAGCATGTGCCTGTCGAGCCGGTACTTCCGCTTTGCCCCGTGGAAGACTTTGGAACACCTAGGGCAGGGCAGCCTGCGCGCCGACACGCCCGCCTCACCCTCCAGCTCCCCCTGCGCACCTTCCTGCAACACAAACAACACCTCGCTCAGTCTCGCTCAGTCTCCATGCGTCCTCTGCTCCGTGCCCGCCAAGCCTTCAGCGTCGCTAACTCCCAGAGGAACTATTCGGAACTATCTGTGTCGTCAGCAGCTATGGTCACCCTCGGCGCCTCTGAGGAACGGCCGCTCTCCCGAACTAAATAATGTAAATGCAATTTCTACAAGCAACATTTCCTCTAAGCACCATACAGAAGATAAGGTCGAGAGACCCGCTGTGGCAGTGGTCGTGACAGTCCAATTGCACTCTTCATGCAAGCCGAACAACGGTCGCGTTCAACGACGGCCTGCACGCCGGGCCGAGGACTCCGCCGGGCGGCACGCGCACTCAGATGCCAGATTCCGGCTGGGACGCTGCCACGGACATTTCCGGGTCGTTTTTGAGGCGCAAGTGCAATCCGAAGGGAGGATCGTCCTCCCGCACGGACCCGCCAGCCTGCGTCTCCGAGTGCGCCTGCTCGCCCCGAGTGTTCTGCAGCGCCGAGTCATAGTTCTGTCCGGACGGGATCTGCGGGGCGTTTCTGTGCAGCATGAGCGAGGGGCTGAGTTCTTGGTAGTGCGGCGGCCCTCCGCACAGGTCGTCTGACGCCTGCTTGTGGACCGCGCGGAGGTGCCGCTTAAGGTTGCCCTGCTGAGAGGCTCGGTACGGGCACATTGAGCATTGAAAGGGCCGCTCCCCCGTGTGGGTAAGCATGTGGTTGTCCATGTTCTGTCGGCGGTTCCGCCCTTGGGCCGTCTTGCCACACACGGGGCACACCAACACGCCTCCTGAAGCCCCGCAGCCATCCCCAGAGACGACCACCTCCTGCAAAATACGAAGGTGGGCTCAGCGTGGACTGTCACAGCTGCCCAGCGATCGCTCTAGCCTCAAAGCCACCACCACAAACGAAGCATCCATAACCCACTTCATGGCCTACTGCGCCCTCTCTCCGCTAGCTACCTGCTACTCCCAACCAGATTCAGAGAGAGAGCATTTCCTCCTCTTCCTACTCCTCTACAAAAGATTTCTAAAAGTTCTTTGGGAGTTTTAATGTCCTTCACCTTCATTAAAATTACCCCAATCCCCTAACCCACATGATAACGATTGTTAAGACCATGAGAGACACATGCTGGCTACTGTTACCGTGTAGAAAATGAAATCCGAGTCATACGAGACTCAAAGGGACGGTGCGTTGTGCGATGAAGAAAGCACTTTTGGTGTGAATCATTTCCTTGTTTCCTTTGCAGCGCCAAACTTGTGAAAAAAAAACTGTACATCGACATAAAAACAAAATTACATTCAAAATCAATCCATTTTTAAACAAAATCACCGCTCACTTCCAATTTCGGTATTTTTTTAAAGCACGTGAACCTCTCCCGTTTTCTCATTCCTGACTTTTTATTATTTTTTCGTCACTGTTCTCGATTTGTTTTACTCCTGGTTTCTCTTCCTTTAATATATCTTTTCTCTCTCTTCAGTACTCTGGCTTTTGGTTGTTTTAATTTGTTTGCTGTAAAAGTGATTGTGGCTTCTCGGGGCTCGTTGTGGTGATAGTGTCGTTATGGGTGTGGTGGTTCGTAGTGGTGTTGATACAAGTGGTAGTGGTGGTAGTGGTGG